ACGGTGAAAAACTAAAAACCTGCCATCTAAGATCAGGAACAAGGCAAGGCTGTCCACCATCACCACTGTTATTCAATATAACACTGAAGGTCCTAGCGAGTACAATCAGGCAAGAGAAAGATATAAAAGGCATCCAAATAGGAAACAAAGAAGTCAAATTGTCACTATTTGCGGATGACATAATTCTCTATATAGAAAACCCTAAAGACTCCACAAGAACACTACTAGAAACAATAAGCAAATACAGTAAAGTTTCTGGATACAAAATTAATGTTCAAAAATCCACAGTGTTACTATACTCTAATAACGAATTGTCAGAAAAAGAAGTGGAAACAATAATTCCTTTTGCAATTGCAACTAAAAGAACAAAATACCTAGGAAAAAATTTAACAAACATGTGAAGGACATATATGATGAAAACTATAAGACCTTATTAAAAGAAACTGAAGAAGACACAAAGAAATAGACAGATATTCCAAGTTCTTGGATTGGAAGAATTAAGATAGTTAAAATGACCATATTACCTTAAGCATTATACAGATTTAATGCAATCTCCATCGAAATCCCATCAGTATCTTTTTAAATAAACAGAACAAAAATCATCAGATTTATATGGAAGCACAAAAGACCTCGAATTGCCAAATCCATCCTGAGAAAAGAACAAGGCTGGAGGTATCACTCTGCCAACTTCAAATTATACTACAAAGCGATAATAATCAAAATGGCATGTATTGGCAGAAAAACAGACACACAGACCACTAGAATAGAATCGAGAGTCCAGAAGTAAATTCATATATATATATGCAAATAATTTTCAACAAAAGAGCCAAAAACATACAATGGAGAAAGGAAAACCTCTTCAATAAATGGTGCTGGAAAAACTGGAAAGCCACCTGCAAAAGAATGAAACTAGACTGTTGTCTATCACCACACCAAAATTAACTCAAAAGGGATTAAGGACCTGAATATAACATCTAAAACAATAAATCGCATAGAAGAAAACTTAGGAACTAAACACGCAATGCAATATATATATGCCTCACTGCTAAATTGTACACCTGAAATTTACTGGGTTTCGTTAACCAATGTCTCTGTAAAAAACGAACAAACAAACAAACAAGAAAACCTGTAAAGAAAAGAAAATAGCAAAGAGTAGCAGAGATGCTTATGGCTGGCAGGGTCACTGATACACAACTGACACATCACTTCAGTTCGAGTTGGGTTTTGCCATAAATGATTTTGGTGCTAAATTTAAGAGAAAAAAATCTTTCAGTTTTTAAACTTATTTCAGTTTTTAAGCTCTACTGAGGTATAACTGATAAATAAAAGTTTTATTATATTTAAATTAACTAATTAATTAATTGATTAATTATAGGGGCTCAATGGCAGATTTGAGCAGGCAGAAGAAAGGGTCATTTAACTTGAAGACAAAGCAATCAAAATTGTCCAGTCCACTGAGCAGAAAGAAAAAAGAATGAAGAAAAATGAACAGAACCTGAGGAACCTGAGGGATATCATCAAACATACCCACCTATTCATTAGTGAAGTGACAATAAATAAAAAGAAATAGAAAAAATATTTGAAGAAATAATGACCAAAAACATCCCAAACTTGATGAAAGACATAAGTGTACACATTCCAGAAACTCAACAAACTCCAAGGAGGATATAAACTCAAAGAGATCCACGCTAAGGCACATTATAATCACACCGTCAAAAGCCAAATACAAAGAATCTTAAAAGCAGTAAGAGAGAAGCAACTTGTCACTTACAAGGGAGCCTCAATAATATTAACAGCTGATTTCTCAAAAGAAATCATGGCAGCCAGAGGGTAAAGGAATGACATATTTAGAGTGCTGAAAGAAAAATAATTATCAACTAAAAATTCTATATCTGCAAAAAAAAAAAAAAAAAAAATCCTTTAAGAATGAAGGAGAAATTAAGATACTCCCAGATAAACAAAAGCTAAGGGTATACACTAAGGGTAGGGCACTAGTAGACCTGCCCTACAAGAAATGCTAAGGGGAGTTCTTCAGGCTGAAATGAAATGAAACTAGATAGTAACTTGAAGCCATATGAAGAAATAAAGATATTGGTAAAGGTTACTATACAGGTAAATATAAAAGTCAGTATTACTGTACTTTTGGTTTGTATCTCCTTTTTTCCTATATAATTTAAAGACAAATGCATTAAACAGTAATTATAAATCCATAACAATAACAATATGAAGGAGAAAGGATAAGTATATAGGAACAGAGTTTTTGTATACTATTGAAACTAAAGTTAGTATTATTCAAACTAGGTTATTACTTTAAGATGTTAATTGTAATCCCAAGGTAACCATTAAAAAAAAATACTTTAAAATATATGGAAAAGGAGATCAAAATGTTACACTACAAAAACATCAATGAAATTTTTTAAAAGGCAGGAACTAAGAAAAGAAAAACATATAAGACAAAGAAAACAAATAAGAGTAAATGGCAGAAGTTAAGTCTTATCAGTAATTACTTTAAATGTAAATGAATTAAATGCTCCAATTTAAAAGGCAGAAATTGGCAGAATGGAGTTAAAAAAACATATAATCCATCTATATATTTTCTACAAGAGACTCATTTTAAATACAGAGACACAAACAGGTTGAAAGTAAAAAGATGAAAAACGACAGTCCATGCAAATAGTAACCAAAAGAGAGCTGGGGGTGGAGATGGGGAAGGCTATATTATTATCAGACAAAATAGATTTTAATTGTTATATCAAGAAGATATAACAATTATAAACGTAATATGTACCTAACAGAGCCCCAAAACTTATGAAGAAAAAATTGACAGAATTGAAGGGAGAAACAGACAGTTCTACAACAAGAGTTGTAGACTTCAATATCCCACTTTCAATAATGGATAGAACAATAAGGAAATAGAGGACTTGAACGACACCAAAGCCAGGCACTATTCTGGGATTCAACAATAGACAAAAAATCCATTCCCTTAGGGACCTTACAATAAATAAACAAGAATTTAAAAGGAATACTGTGTAGTATATTAGGAGAAAAATTAAACATGAAACAGGGATTGTCAGAGGTTGCAAATTTTACTCAGTGGGGTTGGGTAAGACCTTACTAAGAAAATGGCATCTGAATAAAGAGTAAAGAGTAGTTCTACTTACCCTCAATCACCATTTATTATAGTACTTCGAAAATGTGTGTTACTAGACAAACTCCCCATCTAGCTGGTGGATCTGATCTCCTTGTTGGTGGGGACTATCTCCAGCTCCTAGCATAAAGCTTACAGAAGGGCTGTTCAATGGGCTTACTGAACACACAAATATACAGACACACCTAGCACTGGTTCAGGGGGTTACAGCAGCTTATAAATTGTTACTCAATCATTTACTAACATCTTTACCCTTGGCCTGCCATAACAAATTAGTTTTCATGTGGTCAGTCCTCCAAGTCAATGAGCTAGGAGAAAGGAGTGTTTGCTCACTAATCCAGAAATTGGGTATCTCCTTAAGTCAACCATTAACAAGGCAAAAAGTCTCTCGGAATGACTTGTTCTCAGAAACTCATTAATTTGCCCTTAACTCACATTTTACACATAGAAACAGAGGCCCATTAAGAGTCAAAATTCTAGTTAGACATGGGAGTGACTCCTGAAAGTTCACTCTGGCTCAGACCTACTTCTAACCAGGAAAAAAAACTGAGGAACCCTCTGCCTCCTGACCTGCACCAAGCTCATTTCCAGCTGCAGGGCATCTCTCTCTCTCCGAGCTGTATCCAGCTCTCCTTCCAACCGCCGCACCTCAGACTGCATCAATGCCAGCTGTTGCTGGGCCTCTCGGGCTGCCTGGGCCTCCCTCTGTGTGTTTCTCTGAGAAAAAAAAAATCAAACTGAAGTACAAACCTAATTTCCTGTCTCGTGGTTACTTCTGTTCCCAATTCATCCCCCTATACCCTAAAACCCAAGCTTCCTTTCTCTCTCTTTACATTTGACCTGGTTCCTCATTTGTTTAATCTCACTCTTTGCCCTTCCATGTATTTGATGCCCCAAGCCTTTCCAGCTGGCCCTACACTCTCAATCTTACCTTCCACATAAAGTTTGTCACTCTCTATCCCAGTTCCCCTACACCCTATATCCTGTCATCCCATTTCATTCAATTATTTTGCCCTTCATCTGTTCCCCATTCCTCACCTCCGCTTTTACCTTTTCCCTTTCCAACTGAGCCTGGCCCTCCTCCTGCAGTGCCTGGTAGCGTTCCTTAAGCTGGCGCTCTTGCTGGGCCCAGGTCTGCCGTTCTTCCTCTAGGGCAACCTGAAGTGTCTCAAACTGTCGATGCTCACTGAGTTGCCCAGCACGAGCCTCATCCAGTTCTTCCTGCAGGGCCTGGCACCGCTGTTGTTCTAGCTCCAATCTCAAAGTCAGAGCTTGCCTTTCCTCTTCCTATAGCCCCAGAAGAAAACCAATATCCTTAGCATGCCTTAAAGAGACCAGTAATTTGTCCCTTCCCTCCCATACAATGTGCCCACTGAGAATTATGTCCATTAAAAATAAAATAGTTGACAAGCCCACAGGATTATAATATAGTAGGTAAGAGCTTCTGTTCCAGAAACAGGTAGAATCTAGATTCAAATCTCAGTTTTGAATCCCAGCTGTCATTTACTGTGTGTTCTTTGGTACACACTCTTAACTGTGAAATGGGCAGGAATAATATTAGGGTCTACCTTGTGAGGATTAAAGTAAAAAGTATATTTAAAGCATATAGAACAGTGTCTGGCACATAGCAAGTACTCAATATACAATAAGTATCACCATTATCATCAAAAGACATTCCATCAAGACTAGAAAATCCAGCCTACCATCATGTATTAGCCAACCAGCAACCATCATCAACACTCTCAGACGTAGGCTGTTAAAAGTACCAGCATGCATGTAGCGAGTATGCGTCATGCATGCATCAAGTTCCAAACCTGGCTACTAATTCATATGGGTAATCACTTTACCATTTCAGCAATAAGAAACTTGAAAGAGTCTCATCTCAGATCTTTTTTGGCTATGCCCTAGACCAAGGTTCCCAAACCTGGCTAAACAAAATCGCCTAGGAAATTTCTGAAAATATTTAGGTTCCCTAACCCCACCATATATCTACTGAATCAAAACCTCTGGGTATGGGTCCCAGAAATCTATATTTTAAAATAATTCCCCAGATAATTTTAATGAGGATATAATTTGCAGAGTCTCTCAAATTAACTTGGTGGCAGAGCCCTTTTTGTAGAGTAGTATCTAGCAGAACTAATGTTCTAGGGAACACATTTTGGGTTCCTTGTGCAACTAAAATTATGAACTCCCACAATTGACCAATAACCCATAGCCCTCTAGAAGTAATTAACATAACAGCCTATATTGGAATTAACCCAGCCCAACATTCTCACCAGTGTCTCTCTTTCCTGTTGATGTAGTCTGGCGCCTTCCTGCTCATGATTCAGAGCCTCCATGGCCTCAGAAAGGCTTTGTTCCAGGCGAGTTACTGTCTTTCAGGGAGAGGAGTACATAGGACAGAGGAACTGAGGGGGGAATCTTTGTATGTTATACTTTAAAAAGCATTAATAATGTAAACTTTAAGAGTTGACTAAATGACTTAGGGGCCAAAGAGAATACTACATGGTGTGGGGAAAACTGGGAAGACAGCAATGATCCAAGTTTGACAGCAGAAACAGTGAAGGAAGAGAAAAGAGGGGAGAACTGTCAGGCCGGCTACTGCAGACTGAGGTCAATCTATTAGAAACCCTAATTCCAGAGCTATTTCTACCCCCTTCCATCTAGCAATCTGTGACTTAGGTTCGAATACCATATGATCCAGGATGCCCACCTCCTGCTGCTTGCTTCTAGTGAGTTCAGCTGCCTGGCGTTCCTCTTGGAGTCCCCGAAGCACCTCTGTGCGCTCAGCTTCATGCCTGTTCCAGCCCTCCACCACACGGGCAAGGGTCTCAGGAGAGGAAAAGTCAGATGGAATTTCAAAATAATATTTCTGCCCTCTTTCTGCCCATTGCAGGGTCAATAGCCACCTTTGCTTAGTAGTTGGTAAACCCATCCCTTACTCCCGCTTTTAAAACAAAGTGATGTTGGTTGACCACCTCTATTTACTATTCCTTTGGTGCCCCCCATGTAGAGACCCACCACATTCTGCTACCCTGGTACCTTGTCCAGTTGTTCAATCATGATATCTTTCTTGTGGTCAGCAGTCACAGCCACAGCTAATTGCTGCTGAAGCTCTAGCACTCGGGTCTGTAGGCTCTGGATATGGCGTTCACAATGCTGGGAAGAAGGATGAGGAGTCGGGTGTTGCCATCCTTAGTCTGACCAAAGCACCAAACTTTCCAGCTCCTCTAGGGAGAGATGGGCTGGAGACAGGGAGCATGGGTCCCAAGAACAGAATAGGTTTGGAGGAGAATCAGGAAATCTGGAACAGGAACCTTAAGGCCTGAGATCTCCAACACCTTCCTCTACCACCTGAGGAAACAGAGGCTTAGTCTCTACACTCTTCTCTTCCTTGAATCTCCTGAGAAAAATTTCCATGAACTTTTGGCAGGGGTGTAGTGGCCCACACTGCAAAAAGTAGGAAGTTACTCCTGCCTTGAGCAGCTCAATGGACACAATGATTAAACACAGCAAAGATTACGGGGAAAGCCTTTCATTCATGCCCAGCTAGTTGAATAGAGAAAGGAAGAGTTCCAAAGATAACACAACCAATGATTTTGACTTTCCTTCTGCCTTGTCCCACTCTCTTCCCCCTTCAGACAGACTGAGTTTCATAGATAAAGCTCATTAAAACAGTAGCTATAAAACTTTTGCACAAGCCAATGAAGTTTACTGTTCATTCACCAAACACTTCTGAGTGTTTCTGTGTGTTAGATATATTCTAAACTTTAAGAAGACAGTGATAATGAGACAAGGTAAGACCCTCATGGAGCTTAGTTTTTGAAGGGCAAAACAAGCAAGATATATTAGACTGTGATAAGCTATATGAAAGAAATAACAGAGTAATCTGAATACCTGGAGGGGAGGTGTGACATTTTAGATAGGATAGTGAAAGATGGCCTTTCTAAAGAGCTATTTGAGCAAAGTCCCAGCTTGTGGGCCCTTAACTCTTGCCTTTTCCAGCACTCAGCCCTATTTCTAATTTTTGCTGCTTTCAAAATGAAGGTTTTATATCTCACCTTGCGACGGGTATGCTCTGAATCCAATGCATCTCTCAGGCCCTGAAAATCTGGAGGATTGAGTGGGGGCCCTGGCTGAAGGCTGGTGTAACGGGGAAACAACTCCTCCAGGGCATGGGCTGAGCTAGATGGAGATAAGTCTTGCAGCGGCCGGGTGCTGAGCAAATCAGGTAGAGAATATTAGTGTTGGGAAAGCTTTTGAGACCCACTAGTCCAACTGTGACATTTTACAAATGAGGAAACTGAAATTCAGAAAAGGCAAGAGACCTGGCCAAAGTTCTTTAAGTTAGGTAGTGATAGAACTATAAGTAGCACATAAGTTCTGTGATTCACTCTATAGTGCTCCTTTTTCCTATGCAAAACTCCCTACCACAAAAGGAAACAGAAGCAAGCTAACTCTTCTGGGGAAAGGAGGACTAGAGGTTGGGAGAAAGCCAGGTATTAGGCAGCAGATGCTCATGTTCCTGAAGGAGTAAAGGGGGTAGAAAATAGGAGAGAAAGGATGAAAACTAAAAGTTAAGTGACAAGCATCTTAGATCCTTAAGAGGTACAACAGCAGTAAAGGGAGAACTAAGGACTAGAACACTTGGCTTTCCAAGAAAGCAAGCAAGCAAGCAAGCTAGGAGAACCCCAAAGAGAACTCACTTAAGCAAGGTGGCTGTGCTGTCACTGTCAAAGGAGTCCTCTTCCCGTCTCTCTGACCCAGCACCTAGAGTAAGGGGATCCCCTAAAGGCAGTCAAAGGGATCCCACAGCCAGGGTCAGATAAGGATAGGAACAGAGACCACTTGAAAAAGAGAGGACAGGGCCTTCCTTTCTACTTCACCCACTCCTCCAGACTCTCTCTCAAAGAACTGGAGCCTTTCCTCCAGTTCCCTCCTCCCCCACTTCCTTTCTCTTTCTCCCACCCCTTAAATCTAGATTCTCTTTTATAGAGAAGGGATTTACTTACGATAGGCTGTATCACGTGAGGTTTGGAGCATGCTCTGGAGTTGACCCCGAACACTTTCCATCTCAAAGATATGCTTGGAACCATCCTATCAAAAAGGAACACAGAAATCAGAAGCAACCTGAATAATCTATATTCTACCTACTGCTAGGGTAGATGGCATCCAGTACCCCCTAAAACCCAAGAATTTTTACTCTAGCACTTAAGAAAGCAAGAAAAACAGAACTGACCCAATAAGGGTTAGAAACTCAAATGTCTTCAGAAGCAAGACAGGCAGTGTAAATAAATTAATCGAGCATGTTAAGACAAAAGTGGTGGGGATTCTTGCCAACTAGAAAGGAAATACTGTCTAAATCCTGTGTAGTCCATGGCTATCAGTTTTTCAAATTCTAGAAGACCTAAACAGTCTGCAAATTGGTTATGACACCTTTCTATGCAACACTAATAACTATCTTCTCTGTAACATATGTAATTGCTTTAGTGATTTACACGCCTAATTTTGAACCATAAAATCAAAATATTTTTGAGCTGGATGGATCTTAGCATATTTTGGTGCTACTCTTAAGTCCCTAGTTACCTCTTAGGATGAAGAAACTTTATTCTCACAACCAGTCCCCAAGTCCCAGTCAAAGCACAGCAACCCATCCTACAGTATGGGTATCTCTGACAAAAAAACACTAGAAAGTTTCATAATTTTCCAAATTATGCTGTCCCAGGCCACTCTCTCCCTCATATTTGCTCCCAGGAACAAGCATGACTGAGTCTATACCTAAAAGGAGTTTGAAATCCAACAGGAGTCCAATATCAGTTAAGCAACTTTTTTTTTTTACCAGCCCCAATGTCAAGACCCTAGAGATAGCCCAGACACACTTCCCTCACCTTTTTCAAGTTGTTCTCCAATCCAACTGACAAGCTGCGACTCAGTTCTTGGGCCAAGCTGTCTAACCTCTCATGCGGAGGTGGGGAGGTGGAAGGTAAATACAGCTGGGCTCGGGCTGTGGCCTCTGCCTGACGACTGAGATGCAAAGAAGCATAGAGCTGGGAGGTCACCTCAGAGGACACTTGGTTCAGCCCAGGGACTTCTGATGAATCACCCAGGAGATCTTCTGCCCTGAGAGGTGAACTGGGGCTGGTAGCTGATGTTGCCATGAGCACAGGGAAGAGATGATTGGAGACAGCAGAGCCGGGAATTCCTGATTCTGCTTTAGGAGAGCCCAGGAGACAAAGTACACAGAGAAGGAAGATTTGGGAGAAAGGAGGAAGACACCAAGCCAAGGATCCTTGGTGAATAAAGGTATGGAGGCTTTCTGGTTAGAGGAAAGGTTCCCACTGGTACCAGAGGCCATGGGAGAGAGCACAAGCTTTTGGAAACTGTGGGAAAACAAGGTTTAGCAAGGAGCGGGTGGAGACAGAAGACCTACTGCGGGGCAAAAGCACCACTGCAGTCGGTTCTTCTGGAGTGCTGAAAGCTACAGATCAACTTCTGGCACAGGCTATCACTGGTCAACTGAGCTCTAAGTTCTCACACCCAAAATGCGTAAACTGAAATAAACCCAAATCCAATAAGAACCTAATTTCCGTCCAGCTGCCTTATTTGCCCCTCAACTGGCTTCTGTCTCAGAGAGGCACCTCCCCACGTTCCCCACCTCCCCACGTTCCCCACTTCTCCACATTCCTCTGCCCACTGCACCGTTCTATCTAGGGTCAACTCTGTTGTATATCCTCTCCAACCTCTCCTGGCAAGAAAGTCATGGCAAAGCCATGAATCCCTCCCTCCCAACTACCCCAAAAGAAACGTGAATACTCAGTCACGTCCTCGGACGTCCCTAAAAAGTACGCTGCCCTCAAACTTAGCCTGAAAATTCTCTACCCCACCACCCCGTTTTGACTACTCTCCCACACCTCCAATCTTCAGCTCCCCCAATTTGCCAAGGTAAGGACAAGGTATTAACCCCCCTCCTCTAAACACGAAACCGGGACGACCAAGACCCACCCCGCCCTCCACCGCTCGCGCGCTGCCCTACGCTCAAAACCGTTGGCAGCCTCCCGCCCACCGTCCGAAGCCCCGCCTCGCTCGCCTAGATGACGTCAGCAGCCCAAGAGGTCCTGCTCACAGCCATTCACACAGCTTCTGGAGCCCGGGAGCCGGTGCGCGCGTGCGCGGCGCCACCGGCCACGGATTGGCTGAGAGATGTATTCGGGTGGAGTTATTGCTCCGTCACTGCAGTGCGAGGACTGGGAGGAGCCCGGCTCCGAGGAAACAGGAAGTACCTTGTGACCGCCACTCAGAGCAGTTCCGGTGAGTCCAAGGGAGAAACCCGCTTGGTTGGAGGGATCTGGGACGGAAAACTGGAGCCCTCGGAGTGTGCGCGGTCCTGGAGCGAGGACCATACCTTGTGCCCTGCAGATGACTGTCCACAACCTGTACCTGTTTGACCGGAATGGAGTGTGTCTGCATTACAGCGAGTGGCACCGCAAGAAGCAAGCGGGAATCCCCAAGGAGGAGGTGATGAGAGGGCCCCGCGCAACCGGGTGACCTCGCATCTCCAAACGCACGTAGTCCCAGTCCAGTCCCTCCTCTCCAAATCCCGGCCGTTCCCATCTCTGGCCGGTCTCATTCAACCGAGAGCTAATTCTGCCTCTCTCCCCTTAGGAGTACAAGCTGATGTACGGGATGCTCTTCTCTATCCGTTCATTTGTCAGCAAGATGTCCCCGCTAGACATGTACGTGGAGTCAGAGGGGAAGTTGAGGGAAGGATTAGCCTTGGGAATTTTGGGGTGGGAGAAACTTTCTGGATTGGAAGGGGCATTGGCCCCATAGAGGAGAAGCTGAATCTGAAGCGAGAGTGCTGAAGCTGGAAGCAGCAGCGGTGGGTAAAATCTAAAGGTAGAGAGGTTGGTGCGGAGGGTGGGGTGGAGGGGGTGAAAGAAGGGGCGACAAATTGGGGAAGGAGAGCGATGGGAGGTGTTCTTACTCAACAAGCCTCCTAACATATGTTTAGGGAAGTGGGAGTCGACCTGGAGGGGATTAGAAGTATCTTTTTGGAAGCGATTCCGGTCCCATTCTCTAACATCCTCCTCATCTCTACAGGAAGGATGGCTTTCTGGCCTTCCAAACTAGCCGTTATAAACTCCATTACTACGAGACTCCCACTGGGATCAAGGTTGTCATGAATACTGACTTGGGCGTGGGACCCATCCGAGATGTGCTGCATCATATCTACAGTGCGGTCAGTGCCAGTCCCTGGGACCCTTCCCCCAAAGCTCCTCAACAGCCGTGGCCACTTAGATCCCCAAGACTCCTTCAGCCGCCCTGCCCAGATCCTACTGTATTGTATCTCTATTGAAGTCAAAGTTTTCTCAGGACCTTTTAGGTTTTTTAACACTCCCACCAACAGTTTCTCCTCATGGAGGGCTTGCCTTCCAGTCCTTGATCCTTACGCATTCACACACCCCTGAGGTTATACTAGGTTTGGGGTTGGAAACAAGTGTCCAAAGCCTGGCTCTAACACCCTCACTCTCCATAGCTGTATGTGGAGCTGGTGGTGAAGAATCCCCTGTGCCCGCTGGGCCAAACTGTACAAAGTGAGCTCTTCCGCTCCCGACTTGACTCCTACGTCCGCTCTCTGCCCTTCTTCTCTGCCAGGGCTGGCTGAAGGAAGCACCCTACCTCACTCCTCAAAAGAATCTCTGTATGTTTGAGGCCGTTCCTAACCTGTTTGGCCTGAGGGCCCCCACTTCCTGCCCTTCCAACCCCTCAAGCCCCCAGGCAGCCTACCCTGGTGCCCTTGCCATCACAGGCAGGAAGCCTACAGGAGTCTATACACCTCCAAACCAGGCCCTCTCTTCAGTTTTATCCTCTACCAGACACCTGGAGAAGTACAGAATAAACTTTTTGTCACTGTCTGTGACTAGAGTGTGTCAATTTGGGTGGTTGGTGGTAGTGGGGGAGAGGGGTGCCTCCCACTCAATGGAGGCATGAACTAAGGCGGTGACATCCTCTGAACCTGCGAAGAGACTTCGACCATCTGTTTCCCAACAGCAACATTATTGGCATTCTGGACTGGATAATTCATTGTGGGGGGCGGGGGGGGCGGGGCTGTCTTGTGCTTTGTCCTGGGCGCCACTCACTAGATGGTGGTAGCACATTCCTCTCCCTCCCCGGTAGTGGCAGTCAAAAATGTCTCCAGATCTTGCCAAATGGCCCCTATTGAGAACCGCTGGGCTGCAGGAGGCCGGACCTGCCTCTGGCCCCAGAAGATACAAGAACCACCCTGCCGGGTTCTGATATTGGATTCCTCTTGAGTACGCTTAACATTCAGGCCGCAGAGCTTCGGAAGGCGGGGCTTATGCAGATGAGCCGCTGGTTTGCCTGGAAGGCGGGGTATGCAGATGAGGGAGGCAGTGCGTGCATGTTGATTAGCTGGGCCCGCTGCGGTTCCAGCTGAAGTGGCATCTTCTTTCGCTCACTTCGTCCCTAGCTCCCTACCCTCTCAGGACCGTTCCCCATCTTTAGCCTCATCCATTTCCCCGTCCTCCTCCCCGCGCCTTTGTCCCCGGTGTCTGAATATCTCCACTAGTGGTTACTCCTGCGTTTCTCCCCTCCCACCGCAAACCCCGCGACCTCCAGCAGCCCGCCCTCGCGGGCAGGATCCTGCCTGACGACTCCTGCCGCAGCCTCTTCAGCCTTCCCGCTCTCTCCCAGGGCTCGCACCACTAAACCCCGGGTTGTCCGTCCTCAGGCTTCCCTGTCCGTCCTCAGGCTTCCCTGTCCCCTCGGAGCCCCCTCCCCCGCCCTGGCCAGCCAGCATGCAAGTGTCTATCGCGTGTACTGAGCAGAACCTTCGCAGCCGGAGCAGTGAGGATCGTTTGTGTGGACCCCGGCCGGGCCCCGGGGCCGGTAATGGCGGGCCGGTCGGCGGGGGGCATGGGAATCCTCCGGGGGGAGGAGGGTCAGGCCCCAAGGCCCGGGCTGCAGTGGTCCCCCGAACCCTAGCGCCCGCTGGCGCCCTCCGAGAGAGCACCCGCCGAGCCACTGGCATGAAATACAGGTATGGGGGTGGCTGGGTAGCCCGCTCCATCTGCTCCTTTTTCCCGATCTTTGAGGCGTCCTGGGATGCCATTAGAACCCCCTCTAACTTCGCTAAGAAGGTCCCGGCTCACTCCATATCTTCTACCCCATCACTGGCACTCCTTCTGTTGGTCTCTCTCTTGGTCGCCGTCGATACCCCTAACTAGGAGAAATTCGTTTACCAAGGTTGACGGGGTCCTGTAGACCCAGTGGGATGCTCCTGAGCTTTCCTCTTTACCCCCAGGAAAGCCAAGAATGCAAGGATCTCCAGGCTGCATCCCCCAAGGAGTGTCCTTGGGTCGGTGTCCTGAGAAGAAGGGGAAGGAAAGGAAAGGGCTTCCCATTCTGGCCTGCTCAGGGTGCCTGACCCAGATACTGCTCCTACCTGCCCCAAGGGCCCAGTCTCTTGTGACCTTAGTGGAAAGGGAAGTGGGGCCCTGGGAAGGATAGACCACATCTCTCAATTCCATGCTGAGAGACAGGAGCCCAGTGGGGAAGGTGGCCTATAATGTAACTGTAGCTGACTTAATCCCAGAGAACTTCTGGGCTCTCAGAACTCACAAGGGGTGGGGGTGGGGGTAGTCTTCTGCTTGGGAGTTAGCAGAGGTCACTGATCTGACCTGGTGTTGTCACTTGAGGAATTTGATTCCCTCCATGTGGCAGCCTTGATTGGGAGGCTGAGCTGACTACTTGGGTGGAGAGGTCTTGGGAGGAGGGGACTTTCTGGTTCTGGGACAGACTTCACAAGCCCACAGGAGCACAGGGAGTGGAGAAGAGGAATAACTGGCCTTTCCTGTCATACTCCCCACCCAGGTGTCCTACCTGCTTTTGTTGGAAGCCCATCTGCCTAGCCTATCCAAGGACCTTGGCTTGCCTGAGTACCTGTATTTGACTTGGTTTACCCCTCCTACCCCAGTGTCTGCCCTTTAGCATAACTCTCTGAGGGTCTGTTTTCACAAACATTACAATCAGCCAGTCACATTCCCCCTACCCCAACTCCACGAGTCCCAGAGATGGTTCAAATAAGGCCCTACTAGGAGAAACACAATCAAGGCAGCACATCTTCAGTGTGATAGGAGGGAACAGAGGCATTGGACAGTGGCTCCATAGGAGCAGTTTGTTCACGTATACTATAGGAATAGCACTGCCCAATTCAGTAGCCCACTGGCTCTAGTTTCTCTGGATTGAGACAACCTAAGGGCTTCTCATTCTGAAAGGAGAGGAACTGGGAGCTGATAATCTATGTCCCTAATGGAGGCTCCACACCTTCTTGCTACTTCTGTTCCCTGCAGGAACCTAGGAAAGTCTGGTCTTCGGGTATCCTGTCTTGGCCTAGGTGAGTTAGAAAGAAGAGGATTTAAGGGAAGAGCACTCATTCATTCATTGCTTGCTTCCCACAGTTCTCACATGCCTGGCTTCTCTTTTGCAGGTACCTGGGTCACATTCGGTTCTCAGGTCTCAGATGAGGTATAAGTGATGGGACCTAGAGCAGGGTGAGGGGCTGTGAGGAAAACAAAACGAGGGGAAATGGACTTGGATAGGGCTTTTGACAACAAGCATGGAGAATGATGGATGCAAGGCTAGAGGATGGGGAAAGGGGGAAGAATGTGGAAACCAAAGCTGAGATGCTATGGGCTAGTGAGGGAGGTAATTGAGAGGCCTGTGGTTGATCTTCAACTCTTTTTCTCACCTCCCTAGACAGCAGAGGATGTGCTGACAGTAGCCTATGAGCATGGTGTAAACCTTTTTGACACTGCCGAAGTGTATGCAGCTGGAAAGTAAGGACTGGAGTGAAAGAGCTAAGTTACATTTAGAAGGCTGAGAGAACATCAGGGCTTCATATTTTCCCTCTCAAGAACCCTGAGAATTCTGCCAATACTAAATTCCAACTTTTCAGCCAGTGGGCCCCCAAGGCATTGTGGGAATTATAGTCCCAAATATCAGTTCCTCTCCACCTTAGAGGGCAATGGGCATACTGTGCAGTCAAAAAGCAATAACAAACAAACAAAACAATATATACCCTATGCATCAGATATGTGTAACTGCATGGGGATTACAAAGCTTTTAAATATACCACACCACATTACACACCCATGGCTTCACACTGGGAGAAGCTAAAACCTAGGTTGAGCTACCCATATCTATTTTCCATCTGCAAACTCTTCTGCTCATCTTCAAGACTTGGCCCAAATGTTAGCTCCTCCAAGAAGCCTCCCCAAAGTTGGTCATTACCCACCTCAATTTCCCAAAGCACTTTATACTGCCCTCTGACACACAGTTTATCAATTACTGGTTCATGTGGCCATATCTGCTGCTCAACTAGGAGGCTCCTCTTTTCATGAAATTTGTCTTGCTCTTGCCCATATTACCCAAATACCTACAGGGCCTAGCACAGAGCAGGCACTACTTGTGAGATAACATCAATATACCCTTCAAAAAGCTCTCATTCTAAATAGTTAAACAAATAAACCAAAAAGACAGGGAGATATGAAAGACTGAATAACACTAAAACACTTCAATAACAGTCTCCCATAACAACTTAAGACTTGTCACATGTTAGCTCATAATTAAGTGCAAAAGAATTGTGTAGCCAATAAGAGCTATGGAAGCTGACAAGGACTGACCATAAACTGTGGTGAAGCAACCTTTGGTTGACCTCATAGATTGCAAGGATCTTGTCAGCTTACAATCCCTTATTTTTTATTTTTTATGCCTACAGCACCTGGTCTTCCTAGGTGGTCTCTCATCCAAGTACTAACCAGGCCCCACCCTGCTTAGCTTCCGAGATCAAACAGGATCGGGCTTGTTCAGGGTGGCATGGCTGTAGACGCAATCAGAACATTTTCAATTCTGCTCAGAGGCAGAATCTGAGCTAAACTTTGGAGGATAGGTGGAATTTTGCAGACTCCAGGAGGAGGGCAACACAGATTGTTGGAACCAGTGTCTCCCTAGTCTGTCCCTCTCCCCTCATCCTCGTCTATCCCTTTTGAACCCAGAACTGATGCACAACTGTTATTTGTTGAATGACTGAATGAAAGCTATATGACTATACCCCTAGTTCCAGGAGCCCCTTATTTAGTCCAGGTTCGGGCTGACAGCCCAATGGCTCCTGGTTTATGCTCCAGTTTACAAGAGAGGAAATTAGTTGAATTAGGAAATTAGGAAATTAGGTGGGGAAAAAGAGAAGGAAATGCTCCACTTTGGAGAGCTCAATGCTTCTACACTGTTTTCTTTCAGGGCTGAAAGAACCCTAGGCAATATCCTCAAGAGGAAAGGTTGGAGGTGAGACTGTGTTTTGGAGGGTTGCTGGGGACATGATCATCCAAAAATCCTCTTCTTGCTGTTCTCCCATTTCTCTTTTTCCAGGAGATCAAGCTATGTCATCACCACCAAGATTTTTTGGGGAGGACAGTAAGTGGCCGCCCCACAATAATTGAGATCTACAGAGAATGTAGAAGGTGTATGGGATGGGGGTGGTGACAGCTGTCCCTGCACCTGCCATCCCAGGTCCTGACTTTGAGGAACCATGTAGTCCCAGTTCCTCATGGTGCCAGGCCAGCCTTGGTCCTCATCTTTGTCACACCTCATCTTTGACTTACCTTTTCCTACAGGGCAGAAACTGAGCGAGGCTTGAGCCGCAAACACATCATCGAGGGTGAGAGTTAGAGGCTGGGAGCCTGAAGTGGCTGGGTATGGAAGCCAGAGAAGTTGGGGACATTCTCTGAAGTTCTTCCTTCAGATGGGGAACTGGGAGTTAGGTGACCACTGCAAAGAGGTAAGGTGTGAATTCTGAAACTGAAGCTGAGTTGCTTACTTTCCTCTCCCCATCCCCACCTTAGGCTTGCGAGGATCTCTGGAACGTCTCCAGCTGGGATACGTGGATATTGTCTTCGCTAATCACTCAGACCCCAACAGTCCTATGGAGGGTAAAAGTAGCATCCCAATCATGATAGTCCTTTAAAACTGAGCACCTCTCAACCCTCAGTAGGAAGCCAGTCCCTGCTCAGGAGGCCTCCCAAGCTCCACAGTGGAGGATCAGACCCTAGGACTTAAAACAGAGAAGGAGGCAAAGAGCAGATAGTAACCTCTCTGACTCTATAGAAATGCCTGGGGCCTTTGTGGGGGCAGTCAGAGATCTGCAGATCTGGAGCCATGGATGCCAGGGATCTCACAGTACAGCTCTCTCTTTCTCCTATATGCCTAGAGATTGTACGAGCCATGACCTATGTCATCAACCAGGGCCTGGCCCTGTACTGGGGGACATCTCGATGGGGGGCTGCAGAAATCATGGTGAGTATACTATCCCACTTCCCCATTCCACAATGAGTGCCCACTTTTCACATGGCCACTCCAAACTCCATTCTGTTGGAAGACGGGGAGCGGAAAAATATGGAGAGTGCTCTCACCCACACCCCCATCTCTTTCCTACCCCACTCAGGAGGCCTACTCCATGGCCAGACAGTTCAATCTGATTCCTCCAGTGTGTGAACAAGCAGAGCACCATCTGTTTCAGAGAGAGAAGGTGGAGATGCAGCTGCCAGAGCTCTACCACAAGATTGGTTCGCAGCTCCATCAACCCTACCTTTCCCTTGGCTTCACCATCACTGAGATCCCTTTCCCCACACATCCAATCCTCTTCTTAGGTGTTGGCTCAGTTACCTGGTCCCCTCTAGCCTGTGGCCTCATTACTAGCAAGTATGAGGGGCAAGTCCCAGATACCTGCAGGGCCACCATTAAGGTGAGGTCTGGGGGCTCAGGATGGCAAGATTGGGCTATCTTGGCTGTTCTGGAGGTAGGTGGGGTCTTTTGCTGATTCTTTTTGGCTTCCAGGGCTACCAGTGGCTCAAGGACAAAGTGCTGAGTGAGGATGGCAAGAAGCAACAAACCAGAGTCATGGACCTTCTTCCCATTGCTCACCAGCTGGGCTGCACTGTGGCACAGCTTGCTATTGGTGAGATACTACCAGCCCTGGACCCTGCCAGGACCTTGTCTCCCCCTGAGACATTCCCAAACCCAAGACTGGTTTTTCCTTAGGGAGGACCCTCAGAGACACTTCTGAAGTTTATATGCTTACTGTTCCCCATCAGTTCTCTTGTTTTCCTCCTCTGGCCCCAGCATGGTGTCTCCACAATGAGGGTGTCAGCTCGGTCTTGCTGGGGGTGTCCAGTGCAGAGCAACTGATAGAACATCTGGGCGCCCTACAGGTGAGCTGGGGACTCACAGGCAGAGCCCATCTCTATCCCCTTCCTCAGCAAGCAAAGCCTCACTGTCCAACTAGAATGGGCCCGACCTACTACAAGGTCCTTGCTTTGCAAATCAGAGGTCCCAGGGTGACAAGGTGAGGCAGGGCACAGCTGGGACACTTTCCCTGACACTTGGTCCGCTGTGCTGCTCCCAAGTCCTCGAACTTCATGCCCTTCTTCGGTGACCCAACACGTACTTACTGCCCTCTCCACCATCCCATTATCCTCCAGGTGCTGAGCCAACTGACCCCGCAGACGGTGACAGAGATAGACGGACTACTAGGGAGCACACCACATTCCAAGAAATAGTCCTTCAGGGGCGCAGGGCCCCCAGCCTAGATCTGCTGCACCCCTACCCAGAACTGCTTCGCCGCAGCAGCCTCCCTCCTGCTCCGGTTTCCCCACACACAGCAGTCACAACGAGAGTGGCCCCGACCATTAACGAGTTCCGGCTCGAGTAGCAATACGCATGAACAAAGCCATATCCTTCCGCAACGGGGCTTGAGAGGAAAAGTAGTTCACCGCCCTCTGCTGCGCTCTCCTAAGCCTTCTTGCTAATCCCAGGCATGAGCTATTGGGCTGTTCCCTCTCTGCTATTTGGTCTCGCTCTTCTCAATTCCCACAATCCCCAAGGCCCATTAAAAAAAAAAAAATACACGGCAGATAAAAGAATTATGCAGAGTACCTCAAAAGTAGCCCTTAAAATGTCATCAAGGGGTAATAACCTAATAAGAGAGTTGTGATGTCATCTGGGACAAAGGAAAATGGGGCTTTTACGTTATTCAGTAATACAAAGGAAGCCAGGCTGGTCCTGGCAGGAAGTTAATGATAAAGTTAATGAAAACCAGGACCCTGCCTTCCAGCCAGGAGGTGTAAGGGGGCTTAAAACTACAATTGGTGTTCTTTGTTTCTGCCAAGAGGCGGAATGTAGGGGTGGGGAATACAGTGACATATCACTGACAAAAATAGAGGGAAATTTGATGGCAGATGTATAGCTTGGCCAGGGTGGCCCTTGGAAAACAATTGGGCTGTGCTTCTCAGGAAATAGTAACAGCCTTTAAGGTCACAGCAGAGATATGGGGCTGACCACGTCTGCGGATAGAGTTTGAGCCTTGAGCAGGACTTCCTACCTGGCCTTAGGGGACTATAGTTTTCCTCCTGGCAATAATCTTAAAGCAATAATGGTGGCCCCTCTTCTGTAAGACTTTCCAGGGAATTGTAAATAAAATCTCAGCTTGATCCTCACCGTGTCTGAAATTACAAGGAGTTGGGAGGCGAAGGTCTCAATCTCAGATATCTGGCCCTCTAGCCCCCTGGCATTAAAAAGCTCTAGTATTAGCTTTCTTTTCTCTCCATTGCTCATTTACCTCAGTGACCCTTGTTCCTAGTCATTACTCTTATCAAGGACCAAGGGACTGATACCCTAGGCCCCAGTTTTCTTCCTTCAGTTGCCACATTCCGTAGAACCCAAAGAGATTTGGCTTCCCAGTTTTTTTCCTCCCTCCAGCACCCTTGCCCTAGTTTTGTTTTGTTTTGAAAGTTATACTACCTATACTTCTGGTTTTATACTTCTCATTTCACTCTTGCATGATACTTACACTTATGTCAAGGAACTATCTGGGTGGTTTTCTTGTGGCTGAGAGGGAGGGGCTGGTCTGAGGTTGAGGCTTTGGAATTTGGTGAAGGAGAGATAAAATGAAACCTGGTCTATGGTTGAGATGACAGAGAGAGGGAAAGGAGTTATCATTGTAAAGTAAAAAAGAAAGCAAGTGAAAGATTAGGTGTGAGGGTAGCGGAAAAGCAGAATCAAATGGGATTATGTCAGATACTGCCCCTGATTCTTCCCTAAAGAAGTCTGATTTCCCTAGGATAGAAAGTGGGTGGAAAGTTACCACCTTTAAAAATCACAAGGCAGGGAAGGATGAGCTGTTCCTTCCTTAAAATACAACCTCACCATTTCTCTTCTACCCATTCTCACTTGTCCTTGATATTGAAGCTGGGAGAGCAGAGTAAAACCAACTTCCAAAAGAGAAAAGTCAACAGCATGCTATTTACTGGGTTAGCAACCAACCAGACCAGCTAATGAATACTTACATCCACTCCTATCCTCTCCCACTCATTTTGGAAGACTGGTGGAAACAAAGAGGTAAAACGTATGACTAAACTATGATTAGTTATTCTGTAATAAACATATATGAATTTATAAATTCAAAATAGTACTCTCCTTAAATAATTACCTTAGAGGGTTATGTAATTATTTTAATGTTTCTCCCATTGCTCAAAACATTTAAAAAAAACTTCAGAGGCAGTTTAGAAACCCCTTGTAAGAAACTTTCCTTTATTGTCATACCTCATTTACCATATTTATCACTCACCTCATTCATTAATTTATTAATAAGTGTTTATTGAATCCTACTATGGGATACGGTGGTAAACAAAACCAGACTGAGAACAAACTTCGAGCTTACAGATGGGCTAAACAACCCCCAAACATAAACTTCAGTTGTCCAAAAGCCAGAGAAAAGCACGTGATGTTACCAGAGTCTATAGTGGGTATTTGACATGGCGAGCCTGAGCTGAGAGCTGATGGATAAGTGTTACTAAGGTGAAAGCAAGAGAGTCAGGGGAACAGCATATGAGAAAGCCTTGTGGCAGAAAGGAACATACAAGCCAAAGGTCTCAAAGCCAGAGTGTGGAAAGTTACAAACTTTAAATATCACAGAACAGGGAAGGATGGAAGCAGAATGTGAGACATGGGTGGGTTCTGAACATACAGAGCCTTGCAGGGCACTTTAGAATATTATTTTTATCCTAAGGACAGTAGGAAACCTGCTACATCAATTAGCTATTGATATATAACAAATCACCCCCAAAATTTAGTGGCTTGAAACTTCTAAATGATTAATTTTTTTTATGATTCCAAGGGTTGACTGGTAGGTTCCTCTCCTGTTTTCATCTGGGCTCACTCAAGTGGCTGAATTCAACTAGTAGGTTGGCTGAGCAGGAAAATCCAAGATGGCCTCACTGGTATGTGTCTGGCTATTAGTGTTGGCTATTGACTGGGGTTCCTCAGTTCTCCATGTGGCCTCTTCTACCACTGGTTTGAATTTTCTTACATGGTGGTCTCAGGATAGTATTGCAAAAGGACAAAGGCAGAAGCTGCAAGGTTTCTGAAGGACTGTGCTCCAGAACTCGTCACTTCTGCCACATTCTATCAGTCAAGCAAGTCATGAGGCGAGCTCAGATTCAAGGGATAGTGAAATAGACCCCAATTCCTTCTCCCCAATGGGAGAAGCAGCAAAGTCACCTGCAAAGGAATTTTGGGCTATTAAACTGCCACCACATTAAAAGATTTTAAACAGGAATAGAAGGAATGTGTGGTAAGACATGTTTGAGTTTGAGATTACTGTAAGCAGTGTGGAGAAAAGCTTGCAGAAGTCCAGAATGAGTGTGGACAGACTGATTAAGAGGCTCCTACCAGGGTCTAAGCAAGAGATGATGGCATCTTGAACTAGGGTGATGTACTGAAGATGGAGAAAAGTAGGTGGGGCTTGGTGATAAGTCAGTAAAGGAAGGTGAAAACAAGGGAGGAGTCAAGGACAACATCTAGGTTTCTGGAGCTAAGTAAAGAAAGAGGTAGGAAACACTGGAAGAGATGCTGATTTAGACAAGGAGATCATCATTTTTGGGTTCTTGAAGATTAAATGAAAGGAAGTTGAGCAACTGACTGGATATTCAGGTCTGGAGCTTAGAGAGGCTTTGGCTGTCGAACACTTTGGGAACATTTATGTAATCAAATGTACCTTAAAATTTTAAGATTTAATCACCAATTAGAGATATTAAGAGATGTGAGATTTCCGAACACCATTCCAAAGAGAAGTTCCAAAAACGTTTTGAATTATCGCAGCAACTGGATTAAGTAGATAACTTCCCCCAAGTGACTATGAAGACAATACAACTCAGAAGTTCTGAAATGTTTGCTTGAAAATAATGGTATAACTCTTCACAAAAGATTACACTCTAAGGCAGGGGTCCCCAACCCCTGGGCTGGTACCAGTCCATGGCCTGTTAGGAACTGGGTTGCACAGCAGGAGGTGAGTAGCAGGTGAGTGAGCAAAGCTTCATCCACACTTGCAGCTGCTCCTCAACACTAACATCACTACCTCAGCTCCACCTCAGATCATCAGGCTTTAGATTCTCATAGGAGCACCAGTCCTTGGTGCCAAAAAGGTTGGGGACTACTGCTCTTAAGGTTTTAACAATCTAGTTGAAAAGTAAAACCAGTTCTACATTGCCTATTACAGCCAGTAAATGCGATGGGTATAGAGAAGCCGGTCTTGTATTGACCAAGAGAAATGGATGTTGAAAATGTTGAGAACTGAGAAATTAAAGTGAACACAATATAAGTGGGGAGCACAGGATAGTAATTATAGCCAATATGTGCTGTTTACTCTGTGCCAGTGTTCTAAGCACCTAATGTATATAATCTCATTCATTCCTAATATTATCCATATTTTATGGGTGAGGAAACCAAAGCCCAGAAAAAATTAAGTAACTTGCTCAAAGTGTCACAGCTAGTAAGTGGTGGAAGCTAGGATATGAACTCAAGTCAGCTGGCTTTAGAGTCTGTGCAGGTCCAGGAGAGGTGAGGAGGCAGCTGGGGATAGGTGTGGCACCATGAGGGAATGTGGGCTGTGAGTACTATATCCTGTTTACCTGTGGGGGAAGTCAGACCCCTGAGTCAGAACTCATGCTGGGCTGCTTTGCTGGACCCATCATGGTGTGTGGGTGTCCAGGCCAGGCTACTCTGGAAGGAAAAGATTCCCAGAATTCCTAAGGCCATAGTCCTGGAATCTAGGTCTCTCTTTAGGCTGAGATGTCAGCTTGGCATTGAGCAGTTTGAGGAATATGAAATTTAGAAGTCCAGCCTTATAAGAACACAGGGGGACATGTATAAGGCGAGTTGAGGGCAGAATGAGAGTTACTGTCAGGCAGCATCCGTTCAAACATACAGGACCCCACCAAAGGTGGGACAGAATGGGCTGTGTCACTAGCTTAATAAGTTTAAGTGGGGTTGTGAAAGAGTGAGCAACTGAACGAACAGGCCCCTGGGCCTGTAGACACTTATGCCAGTGGCTTAGGGGGCACAGGAAAGGAACTGAGGATTTGCACACAGAATTAAGGAGTGCGGGCTTTGTGCTGGGGTATGAAGGAAGGCATGGAGGGAGTAGAGGGTGATATGCCTCTTACCGCCCCAGTCCTAGTACCAATTGAGCCGCATTCCCCCTTTGCTTCTCCAGCCACGGTTGACATTCCCGGCCTCGTGCCTCCACCGCCCCCACGCGTGCCGCCGCAGGGAGCGGCCTGACCACGGCGTGACGCCTCGGGGGCGGGGTCTCATTAATAAAACGGGTACGGGACCGCGGCCCCGGCCCCAAGACAAGACCTGAGTCAAAGGGAGGGCCAGCTCTTTCTGCCCACAACATCAGCCACGTTAGCGACCCCCTCGAGTCCGCGGCGGGCACCATGCAGCTCCTAGTGAGAGTGCCATCTCTTCCGGAGCAGGGAGAACTAGACTGTAACATCTGCTACCGACCCTTCAACCTCGGTCGCCGAGCGCCCCGCCGTCTGTCCGGAACGGCACGCGCCCGCTGCGGACACACGCTCTGCACCGCCTGTTTGCAAGAGCTGGCAGCGCGCGGTGACCGCGGAGGAGCGGCCGCGCGTGTAGTGCGCCTGCGCCGCGTCGTCACATGTCCCTTCTGCCGTGCGCCCACCCCGCTTCCGCGCGGCGGGGTCACAGAGGTTTCTGTGGACCCGGACTTGTGGTCGCGGTTGGAGGAAAAAGCGCGAGCCGAACGCGAACCAGATGAGGCGGGTAGCCGGATCAGGGAAAGCGGCGACGCCGACCAGGAGACCGACGACGAAGAAGAGAGCGAGAAGGAGGCGGGGCCAAAGAGCGCGGGGTGGCGCGCGCTTCGGCGATTCTGGTACAGGGTGCTAGCGCCCGCGCGCGGAGGTCGGCGCCCGCTGCCTAGCAACGGTGAGGAGCTGTTTTGGGAGGCTGCGCGGGGAGAGCGCCTAGAAGCACCAGGGTTCCGCTGCATTCTCCCGCTGCCACTAACTCTTCTTTCTTCCAGTGCTGTACTGTCCAGAGATTAAGGACTTTGCCCACAAGACCCGCTGCACGCTGTAATTGAGGGACCCGGAAGCTGCGGCGGAAGGAACGTGGGAGCTGCATTCTCAGAGAGTGCTGTAGTACAAGGGGTTGATGCCAAGGCTACCCCCCTCCCGTCCCGGGATTGATGAAGTTGAGCCGAGGGCAGGAGGGAACGCCCTGGGAGGTGTTGATACTGAACTGGGGAGACTACTAGACGTATCGCCCCCATCTATTGACTGTGCCAGCCTTACATATACAGGATGGAGTGGCCTAGGGATAAAAACGATCTACGCTCCAGTGAGAAGACGACAGATTGTTTCCTTAGCTGTGACTTTGGCTTTTGTCCAGGGCAGCTCTGGTGTGTGGGAGCAACAAGTCCCGTTTTAGCAATTGTGTCAATGGTTTGAAATTTTTAAAAAGCTGGAGTGGGAGGGAAGAGGCTGATTTTCATGTCACGTTAATCTCACTTCTCTAGCACATAAGAGAACTGAGAAAAATAAGCCTTTTCCCCCCCTCACAGTGCTGTTATGCTTGTTTCCCCACTTCCAGTACTGTGAATGTAAAATTGAGATGTCTCTTGCCTTGCTTCATTTCAGAATCTCCCTTCATTTTGTTAGGGCAGGTCTAAAGGGCATTTATCTGAGGCACCTAATTAGGGCTTATCAAGGATAGAAGGGAGAGCCATTTGGTAAAGGCATCAAATTTTAAACCTTTGATATGTTTTTACAGTCACAAGAAAACACTCCTGAAAAAAGATGCTTATCATACAATTTTAAACTTGTGTCCCATAATTGGACATCTGTTGTATGTCATGAATTCTGTTTTAAAATCCCGTCAGTATCTTACGATGTAAAGGGCCAGCAGCATCAGCATCAGCATCAGTGGGAGCTGGTTGGATGTGTAAAATCTCAGGATTCCACTTCAGACTTACTGAATCAACCTGAATTTTAAGAATCTCAGGTGATCCGTGTGCACATAAAAATTTAAGCAGCATTGGTCCAGGTCCTGGATGCTCTAGGATGTTACCATCTATGGGTGGAATATTTAGAATACAAATGGTATTTAATATATACTGTTTTATTACAAGTTCTAAAGTGACATTCTGTTGAAATCTAAATTATGTGCTTGTTTCATTTTCCTCCTAGTTAAAAATGTGAACTTAAGTATAAACCTCAATTTTTGTAACTGTATTTTGACTTTTTCCTGTCTTTAAGGTCTCAGCTTAAATGTTCCCTGTTCAGAGTTCTTTCTCAATATCTAACCTGGTATAGTCCCTCCCTCACCCTCTGTAGCATAATAATGCCTTATTTTCACTGCTTTTATTTCCAGATAGTATGTGTTTTGTTGGTGTCCCCCAATAGAGTGTAATCTCCATGAGAGCAATGACTGACTTGTGACTGTTGTATCTCCAGGGCCAACAGTATTAATGTAAAGCATGTACTCAATAAATATTTATTAGATTTTTTTTAAAAAATAGCCTCAAAAATTAAGTGTGTGGTCTCTCTCTCTGAACAGCCCTGGTAGTGAACAATACACGTTTAAAAAAATCTACCAATTCAAATATTTGGCAGGCTATGGAAGTTTGACTCCCCCACCCAACTCCTTAAAAAAAAAATGTACTTCTGCACACTGGTAATTGAACCTGTGGAGCTGTAGTGACCTCTGCTGACTCTTGGAGGAACTAAGCAACTTGAAGGCAGAAAGGATGATCAAAAAGGATGAATGGAAGGCAGTTCTGAATCTCTCCAGGCACCCCTCCCACTACACTTGTCTAGTAAGCCCTGCTATCTCTCTGATCTCAATCTGAAGCCTGTGTAGGTATCCTATTGCTTACCCTCAACACATTGGGGTGGGTATTGGAAAAAAAAAGCCTTTGAGTTTTAGTTGATTATCCAAGAAATAAAAAAGAGAAAAAGGTAAAGTCACAAGATTAAAAAAAGAAAAAGATGGATAATATGAAATGGCAGAAAGCAACATCCTTTCTTTCTTTACCCTTACCAGCCCCTCCCCAAAGAACTCCCCCACTCAAAAATAACAGTACACAGAAAGGAAAGTATAATTTATATGTACAACCGATAAACCTGATACAGAAGAGGGGATTGGGACAGACCAGGAGTGGGTGTGAAGAGACTGGGAAAGGGGCAGCAAGAAAGTGAAGGGGCAGCAAAGAGGAAGTGGGGGGTTCGCCATGCAAACTGCCACTCTCCTCAGCCCCTCCTGGGGAGGAGGGTGTGCCCATGTCTCCCCACCCTGCCCTCCACTATTCTGCTCTGGTCCCATAGGCAAGGCAGTCCCTTGACTAGGCCCCCTGCCTGACCCACTCAAATTTGGTCCGTACCCAGGCCTTCAGGAGCAGGGGGAGAAGTCCTCCAAGAACCTGGGCCCCAAAGCTGGAGGCTTCCCCAATATCTGGCCCGTTGTGTTTTCTCCCACCCTTTCTATGTTACTTGGGTCCCTAGGACAGATTGGGGAGCTCCTCTTTGGCTTGAGGGAGTATCACCCAACCATTAGACTTTGTAGGGTGGTCCTTGGTCCCTGGGGCAGGGGGGTGGGGGGGAAGATGCCCAACACAAGATGCCAGTACACAGGAGGTAACTGAGCCAGTGAAAGGCGCCTTTATTCTGAGGCGGAACAGCAATTGACTCCCTACCTTGTAACTGTTCTACCCTCCACTTGGGGAGAGGTAGGGGAAGGAAACATGCAGTCACCCCTCCTCTTCCCTTCCTCCCTCCCAGGGCTCACTGTCATCCCTATCTCAAGTCCCCCTCCTCTCTTCAAACCTCTTTTCCTTGGAAAGTTTCTAATGGCCAGGCAATGCTAATTCCCCACTCTTGCACAAGATGGAGCATATATTGAAGAAATAAAGACTGGGGAGGCTCCACCTCTTTCCTCCCCACAACCATTTATTGAGAAGCTATGTATGTTTGGCAGTGGGGGATAAAAGTACTTGGAAGACCCTGCTAACCATCTCCCACCCAGACTTCCTCTCACCAGCACAGTCTTCAAAGCGTGGGGGGAAGTGTGCAGGAGTGGAGAAAGACAAAGGGCCCTTCTTGAAGAGAGGCGTTGTAGAGGGGCGAAGGGGCTCCTAGCCCAGTGGTGGCCCAGGGGATGGAGAAGGCGGAGGATTGGCAGCAGGCCCCAGAGACTGAGCTGGGGGTCGGCCTCGGGCACGGGGCCTGGGTGAAGGGCAGGCCTGGGATCCGGTCAGTCGTCTATACAAATCACCTCCCCGGCTCGGGCCTCCTTCCGATCCAGCCCGTCTGGCACTAATGCCCCCACCATTTCCTTCTCCTTCTTCACCAGCACTGGAGGGCCGTTGGTGGCGGCTGTTTGGGAAGAAGGTAAGGAAGGGTCAATCCCTACTTCACTCCCGAACGTCACTTTCCGACAATAGTATAGTCTCACTTCTAGGTCACCTCATGCCATTTCTGATTGTGCAGAGTAGGGGTGGGAAAACCAGGTTGAACCCCTCCTCCCTGAGATTCCTCTTGCCTGCATGACTGAACACATGTTTCAACTCTCATCATAACCCCTTCTCATTTCATATTCTTTTTCTCTGAAGGAACCCAGATGGAGGAGGCTCAGGTAAGAGGTACCAAGCCGCAGAACCACTGAAACCCTGGATGAGGTTTTTGACGATGGGAATGGAAGAGAAGTTAAAGGGATGGGAAGAACAAAGCCCAGAACAACTCCATTCCATAAAACACTGGTACTTCCAAAGAAATGAGATGGGATATAACAGTAAAAGGGTAGCTGAGCAGTGATGAATGGGAAGAAATCATCAGCTGACCTGTGATGAAAGACCCTGCAGGCATCTGGCTGTAATTGGCGCCTGCGACGGCCAGGGCCCCTACGGGAGCGGCGCTGAAGGCTGCCCCGTACCCCGGAGGTGTAGCGTAGGGACCCGGGGGGAAGGCCTGAAATAGAGAGCAAGCCCAAGTTAGAGGGTCCAGATTCTGAAAGGAAAGCTGTAAAGGAAATGTTATAAGACAAACTCCAGAACTACTGAGGTACAGTATAACATAGGCATGGAGACTCAAGGGTGATGAGTGTGCTGGAGTAAGTCATTTTTTTCCATATTGTATAGAATCAGATGGAAGTGTCTGTATATGTGCAGGAGAAGTACCAACAGGGAAAATGGAGTTAGAGGGAAAGGGGGTTACCGGTGTGGGGTGAGGCTCTGTGCCCTTGCTGGCCAGCCGGCTGAGGATGCTGCGCTCGGACATCTGAAGGCGGGCTGCGATGGGGGGTATTCGAGACAGCGTGGCTGGCAGGCGGGTCACGTCTGCCTTCATGTCGCTCAGCAACTCCTCCAGCTGGTTCAGAACTGGGGCCCGGGCCACAGAGAAAGAAGGGCAAGAGAAAGACAGGGAAAGGAAGAGATGGAGCCAGGAAAAGAGACGAGGAATCAGATGGACAGATAAAGTCAGAAAAAGAGAGCAAGAGAACACAGATGTCAAAGAACCAGAGAAAAAGAAAAATGATAGATGGAGACAGAAAAAGAGGCGACTCGGGGGAGGGAAAGTTAAGTGTCAGGTAAAGAGGCAGAGAGATCAGATCACCACAGAGAGAGATGAAGAGAGAAGCAAGGAAAAGGGAATTTGGAGAAAAAGGGAGATGGGGAGGACATTTGGAAGACATGGGGGCGGGGAGTTGTCAGAACATCCCATACTGGAAGAATGATGTTTTTGGGTTGGGGATGATGGGGAGGAAATAGGGGGCGTGGGAGGTGGTAAGTGGTGTTAAAGATTTAAGGATCAGGTTTTACATATGTAACTGGGGAGGGAAGTTAGAGGGTCAGCATTACAGATTCGAGGAATCAGAACAGGAATCAAAGGGGCCAGGAGTCAGTCACTACATCAGACAGGATTAGATGGTTAAAGGGTGTTCGAATTTAATCTATTATTTTCAAGGTAAGAGGGTTTGGGAGGAAGGGTTGAAGGTCAAAGGGAAGTTTCATGGGGTAAGGTCAAAGGGTGGGATGGTGGTAGTGCCTCTCTCCTGGGGTAAATGAGTTGTGAGGAATGTGATTTGTGGGACTGGGGTTAAGGATTTTTGTGAACTATATACAGGCCAAGGCCCTCGAGAGGGTGCTATTAGCAGTATGGCAAGTGTGTGGGTCAGTAAAGAAGTTCTGTCCTGTGGAGGGGACATGGCACACTCTCATGGAGTTTTGGGGGGGGGATCCCTCTATTAGGCACTGATGTGAATGCTATTAGGTACGGATAAGGGCTGGCTGCACAAATCCTAGAGGCTAAAAACCAAGGGGTTGCCAAGTGGTTCAGGGGTGGGGTTAGAGGTCAGAGGGGGGTGGTTCAGAGGGTAAAAGGGTCAGAGGGGAAGATTTTGAGGGGTGCGGGGTGAAGACTTACGCAGCGTTGTGGGCCCTCCCCCGCGCGGGGCCGCCGCGGCCCTTACCCTTGTGCAGTACGGCGTTGGCTGGCTTGTTCCCTGCCAGCGACTCCTTGGAGAGGTGCTGGTGGCTCTCAGCCAGGCACTCGGCCTCGGCGAAGCGGGCGTGGAGGGCCATGGCGGGGTGCGCCGGCTCCTGTGATAGGTTCAGGTAGGCCGCCCGCCGAAGCTGCTCCTCAATCACCAGCGCCTGCTCCAGGAGCTGAGGGCACAGGGAGGGTTAGTGCAAGGACCGGACAGCAGTTGGCAAGTGGATGGGGGGCCCGACACAACACTGGAGACCCACACTGCCCTTACCTCTGGCCAAGGGCATCCCTAGCTCCAAACCAATACTGTGACCCCAGCACTAACCCAGATCCAGACCAGTCCCAAACATGAGGCTACCGTCAAAGTGTTAACCTTTCCCACATCCAACCAGATCTGGTTCCACCACTGACACAAGTCCCTCTTCAACACTGTTTATTTCATCCCTTATCCCCACCTTAAATCTCCGGGCCAGAAACTTATTTTTCATCTCCAGAAAATTCCCCTTATTGGCTTCAGTTTTAAATGGCTCATTGATAATGGCAAACTGAGCATCATTCTGAATGTCCTGCCACCGTGCATAGCCATGACTGCCGATGAAGGGGACCATCAAGGAATTTAACAGGGATGGGCCAGGCTGTGAACACGTCTGCCTTTTGGCGTGATCTCCCCAAAGTGTGGCGCTAGTCCCCCTTCCCGCCATGTGGACTCCTCTGTAATTCGTCTCTCTCCAGGCTGAGAGAACCGTTTTTTCCCTTGTATTTTTGTTAAAGGATACAGGACAATCCCAGCCAGAAGCCAATAGTCATGTCTTCGGTGCCAGATCTCATTGAGTTTCCCCGAGGAAATAGCTGCTCTTTCCTCATTCTGCCACAGTGTGTGAAGCTCTGAAAAGAGAACAGAAGATGGATGAGGCATTAGGAGTTTTCAAACCACATCCAGCCCAACAGACAGGTATAGATGAAGGAACTGAATAGTGGTAGAGGACTAAGGGCTCTTTAAAGAAACAGGTCAAAGTTAGCTTAGGGGGGTAGGGATAAAGGTAGT